AACTTTGTGCAAAAATGGCAATTTTGAAATAGGCCTGTAATTATTGAAATCAGTGGGATCGTGATTTGTTTTTTTGAGTAAAGGCTGGACCACAGCATGTTTAAAGCAGGATGGAACAATGCCTATTTGTAAAGAGCCATTGATAATAGGAAATAAACTAAGCAAAACAGAGGGCAGAACATCCTTAAGCAGCTTTGTAGGAACAAAACCACGAGAACAGGTAGTTTGTTTCATATTTAAAACAATGTTCAACAACTCAGAAAGTGAAATAGCTTGAAAGTTTGAAAATGCAGAGGAGCTAATATTTGCATATTGAATATTCTGGGATAAATTACAAGAAATCTGCACCCTGATTGAAGCAATCTTGTTAATGAAGAAGTTACAAAACTTCTCTAGATAGATGTTAAAATACAGTTTTTCGTATAAATATAAGTAAACTTTAGTGAAAATACAGTAATATAAAAATATTTAACATCTATATTAGCGATGCATTTGTGGCAATATTTTGAAATATATTTTTTTTGTCATACCATTGATAATAGGAAATAAACTAAGCAAAACAGAGGGCAGAACATCCTTAAGCAGCTTTGTAGGAACAAAACCACGAGAACAGGTAGTTTGTTTCATATTTAAAACAATGTTCAACAACTCAGAAAGTGAAATAGCTTGAAAGTTTGAAAATGCAGAGGAGCTAATATTTGCATATTGAATATTCTGGGATAAATTACAAGAAATCTGCACCCTGATTGAAGCAATCTTGTTAATGAAGAAGTTACAAAACTTCTCACATAACTCTAAGCTAGGGTCTGGGCCAGTTGGTCTAGAGGGGTTTAGATAGGTATTTTGCCCATTCCAAAGAAACGGCTTCCTGGAATTTAGACAAACTGTTTTATTTCCGTATTAATGACATTGTACGAAATCGACAATGTTTTCTCACGAGATAGGGTATAATAGTCTTTGGACAACTATATTGTCATTTTAAAGTCGATTTTATTGGATACAGTTTGGACAGACATTTGGTTTAGGTTTTACTTTGAATACTTTAATTCAGAGACTGCTAGTAAATTTCCCAAAGAATTACAAAGGAAACATTTAATTAAACATGAAATTTTGAAGTAGAAAGGCTGTAATTGCACAGTATTTACTTGTAAAACATACTCCAAAAATCTGTTGAATCCAATAATTCGAATTTTTTTTCAGTGTACATTTTGATTTCATGAATACATAACATTCAATCTTTCAAAGAATTGATCCCACCAACCTAGGCAACTTTGGCAAATCCGGCGATTAGTTACTTCTTAAAACCCTTCATCCTCCATCAACCGGTTTTTGCGTTAGATGGTGAGAGAAGATGGGAGTGTTGTCTGAGGCTGAAACTGATATCATAAATGAACATGTGGATATTTAAAGTATAGATTTAAAGGAATAACTCATCCAAGAATGAAAATGCAGTCATCATTTACTCACCCTCATCTCGATCCAAACCTGTATGACTTTCTATGTAAAACACAAATGCACTGAAATAAACTGGTGTAGAAACAACTTTCACTCAGGAACTGCTAGTAAATTTCACAATTACAACATTGAATTAAATGTGAAACTTTGAAGCAGAAAGACTGAAATTGTATTTTCACATAAAACATACTCAATTTTTGTTTATAACTTTTTAAAAAAATCATTTTTACAGTGTGGAGAAATGCTGAAGAATATCTTACTCTTTTTAGTGTAATAAAAGTGAAAGGAAAAGGAATAACAATTTTCATTTTCGCACTAAAATATCCCATTTTAACCTGTGGATGATGGTAGAGGACTGCACTTGCATAAGAAACCCAGTGCAGTATCCGTAGTACCGAGACAGAAGGCCTTTTGTATGACTAATCTTTTTACAGTAAGTGAACATGGAAAGTCTGTAAAATAAAACAGCCCACATGACACAAATACAGTCTGTCATTTCAAGAGTATTTGACTCCGTTTCCAAGCCAGGCCTCTCAAATGGCTTCCATGTGTGCGAGTTGGGGGGAGAGGCAGATCTCGGTGGGTTTGCTTTGTCTGAGAGCTCTTGGCAGCATCACAAGGATTCCTGAAAGCCAGAGCAACATGGCGTCACCCCAAACAGCTCCCTGACTCAGAAGCACAAGGGCGCCCTGGACGAACTTCCTGTTGGAAGTACCAGCATCAGATATAGGGTTTCTCCAGCCAGGAAATGATTCACACTTTATTCACCCATCCATCTGTCCGCAGATAGGGTCCCACCTCCACTTGTTCCCCAGCTGCCCAAGGCAGAGGACTGAAACGCTGCTGCAACTTTAATCTGTCGACTTAATTATTTAATAAAGGTGTGGCCGTGCTTCAAACGCAGGCGCCATCCTGCTCTCTTCATCCTGTCTGTCTTAAAAGCCTGTGAGATTTCCAACCCTTCCCTGTGGCTGTACAAACCTGACTGCTTTACTGACTCAGTATTGCTGGTATTCCTGATTGAGAGAGTAAACTGTGATGTTATGAAACAGTGATGTACATCCTGAGCTCTTGAGTTTAATTCCAACCATGATTCAGATGGTGACTGCGATAGAAATGGTTATTGTTCATGATTTAACAAGATCTGGACGCCAGGACGCCTCTTGTTTCAACAGCGATGCATGTGCATATAAATGATTCATAAACACGGTCATGTATGCTCAACCATCATTTTTTGTCTGGCCAAAATATAATTATGAACATATGTTAAATATATATTGTAAACGATAAGTAAACTTAAATATATTATATATATATAAATATAAATATATATAGATATATATATATAAATATATATATCTATATTGAATTTCACACTTTATGGCTCGTACGTCTGGTATTTATACACTGTCATGAACCCTATGGCTCTCTTGAAATGTTTCTATTTTTTAAGGGAATTAACTCTGAGGCCTTTGCAACCACATCACACATGCAAGATCTCCCTAAGTAAGCGATCACATTTTGTTTATATGTGCCATTTGGGAGTGGTTTTATCTGAAACAGGTTATTAAACACTGTTTATGTCAGAGACACAACTCAGAAAACAAGTGTTCTACTTGTGGGCACCTAGTTTGCTTGCTTCTAAGCGTCTCAAATTAAACTCTGAGTATCTTTTTAAAGACTGGATGCATATTTATTTTGTTTTAACCCATTGCATCAACTTCACACCTTTCCTGGCAAACCGGTGCCTCTCCCAAAGTTGCACAGCGTCAGCCAATTAGACTGGAGCCACAATCAGTCAGATCCTGTCATTTTGTGCCAGTGCACGGACTGACACTAACGCCATTCTAACTTTAACAGGTTGTTCTGTCTGTTAGCTCAGTTCCTGTCTGGTAACATCAAACACTGTAGGAAATCATATCATCAGTGGCACCAGACAGATAAAGCAGCTGGATTTATCAGTGGAATATATTAATGAACCGCCATGTCTTGCCCTGCATTCTCCAGTTTTACGCTATCCGCACATGCATGTGTGCTTGTCCGTGAAATGCATTATCGATCAAGTGTGCATAACACATTTACCAACTTAAACCAGCAATCAGCAGAGCCATAGCAACAGCACACCATCCTCACATGAAAGCGATCCCAGCACTGAAAAAAGAGAAGGAAAAACGGCTACCAAGGGAACAGTGGCTATTCTGAGCCTGCAGTGTGACAGAGGTTCACATTGACACGGTTTCCTAAATGAAGTGCTGTGGCCTGCGAGGAGAGGGAAGTTCGTCTCGCTCGCTATTCTTCTTCTCTCCAGTGTCATTGTTCAGACAGGAAACGCCACAGAGACGTATTAGTTGACACACTATTTTAAGTAGGTTAAGGGCACACACACACACACACACCCCACTGACTAAACCATCCTCTTTTCTTCACGTCCACGTCATTGTCATTGTCTATTAATACAATTACCATGAAATAAGATGGCTAATTTCAGTTCTCCTCTAGACTAGAGCAATTACTGAAGATGCTGTAATCGCTGTAAACAAACCATCTAGAAGTTACCGCAGTCTGCGTGCTTGACTGAAACATCAGAGGTGAATCAGTGTTGTACTGTTAACTAAAAGTACAAATATTTGTAAAAAATTAACTGAAATAAAAGAAATGTTCAATGAAATAAAAGAAAATATTTTTAGTTGCCAAGGATACATTTCTAATCGTCACTTAAAGTTGAACTAAAATTACTAAAACAAAAATTAATAAAGACTAAATTAACATTAAAATAACTAATAAGACAACAAAACAAAACAAAAAAGTATGGGGTCAGTAAGATTTTTTTTTTTTTAAAGAAAGTAATAAATACTTTTATTCAGTAAGGATGCATTAAATTAATTACTACATAACTGAAATACAATTAATATAGACTAAAACAGGCATTTTTAAAAAACAAAAACTCCAAAAACATTTGGATATAACAGATTTTTAAAGAAATTAATATACTGGATACATTATAATAATTAATAACAAAATAATTGAAATAGAAATACACTTATTTAAAAAAAAAATGACAAAACAACAAATAATAGTTCAAGATTTTCATCTAATATTCATATTTTATTTCAGCTATTTTTTTAAGTTGTAATTAAAACAAGATTACTGGAGCATATTTTTACAAGAAAATACTATTTCAGTCTTTATTTGTTTATTTTGCTCCCTCTTCGTTTTATATTTATTAGCAATTTCTGAGTTCTTGTTTCTACCATTTTTCAGTGTATTAAACAATTAAAATTTGTTATAGTTATTACAATTAAAATAAAATTTTTCATTTTAGTTAACGATAACAACACTGTCCGACTCGTGATCAAATGATTCAAAATAATCAAAAATCAGTTTGAATCAGTCTAATGATTCACTCGGGTGGAGCGGTTCTTGACTGATTCACTGAACTGCAGGTCATGACATTCACAGCTCGATTTGGACAGAAGATTGGTGAGTAAATGATGACAGAATTTAAATTTTAGGATGAACGGTCACTTTAATTATAGCAGTCAAGTATGAAAAGTTTTGTTAAGGAACCAAAACAGTTAAGGAATCTAAACTGAAATTCCGCATGATTCTCATCGCTATCGGGAATGAGTGGCATCATTGTCTCGGATCTCTCTCTCTTCCCATATTTTGTGTTCAATCACAGCCGCGCTTCAATACGTCACGTCCAAACATGTCGGCCGCAGAAATGCGCACCCTGGAGCCGTGTAATAAACCACCACCACCATCCCTTCCCTGCACAATCCTGTCACTGCTTATCTCCGTCCTCTCCTCCCTCTGGAGCCGCGTCCGATTCTGAGGAAAGAGAAAGAAAAAAACAGGAGTCAAAACAGAGGTGTGATTCACGGGCCTGATACAGGCGATCATCATCTGTTGCAGCTGCTTCCTGGAATTAGAGCTGCGGGCTGTGTGTGTGTGTGTGTGTGTGTGTGTGTGAGCAATCGTTCTTTGTGACTCACTCGGAAAACAGGCTGACAAATATATGTGTGAGAGCGTATGAATGACTGAAGCGTTTAGCTGGAGGAAACCGGATTTGACTTTTCCTTTTTTTTCTATAGAGCACAATAGAGGAAAGTGCTATTCATTTTTTTTATGGTTTTAACATGTTTGTGTGCATTGTGTGTAGTGATATGTGAAAATAATGTTACCATGGATACAAGGACTGTGGTAAAAGAGCTCAACAGTTACTGGCTGCTTCAATAAACCATAAAGCTTTGCAGTTTACACTGCCGTTAAAAAGTTTGGGGTCAGTAAGATTTTTTATACTTTTTAAGAAAGTACCTTAAGAAATTTTAAGAAATGTGACCCTGGACCACAAAACCAGTCATAAGGGTCAATTTTTCGAAATTGACTGAATAAAAAAGCTTTCCATTGATGTATGGTTTGTTATGTTAGGACAATATTTGGCCGAGATACAACTATTTGAAAATCTGGAATCTGAGGGTGCAAAAAAAAATCAAAATATTGAGAAAATCATCTTTAAAGTTGTCCAAATTAAGTTCTTAGCAATGCATGTTACTAATCAAAAATTAAGTTTTGATATATTTACATTAGGAAATTTACAAAATATCTTCATGGAACATGATCTTTACTTAATGTCCTAATGATTTTTGGCATAAAAGAAAAATCGATAATTTTGACCCATACAATGTATTTTTGGCTATTGCTACAAATATACCCCAGCGACTTAAGACTGCTTTTGTGCTCCAGGGTCACAAATTAGTACTTTTATTCAGAAAGCATGCATTAAATTAATTACTACTTACGTGCTGAATAAAAGTGCTCATTTCTTTATTAAAAATCTTACTGACCCCCAAATTTTTTGGTTTTGTTTTGTCGTTATATTTTCAAATAGTCTTTATTCATTTTTATTTCAGTTTTATTTTAGATAATAGTTTAGTTATTAATTAATTGAATGCATCTTGTTTTTGTTTTTTTTACAGTGCATAGCTGAAATGAGATATAAATATTAGAGCAAAAAGTAAACAAGAATTAGAAATGTTGCCTTGGCAGCAAACTGAAATAAGTTTAAGCTGAAGTACTAAAATTACTGAAACAAAACTAAATCTTAAACTGAATTAAAAATTAATTAACATTATTTAGAAATAATAAAAAATTACAAAAACATAAAAATTGCTAAAAATAAACTAAAAGCTGAAAATATAAAAATAAAAGCTTAATAACAGTATATCAGTATATCATGAAACCAATTAATTTTAATATTTTGTAGAAATGCAATCAGTTCTGAATAAAATCTGCTGAAATGCATAATGACTAAGCGGTTCAGATGAAGAAGGCACTGGAGAATTAATGCAGCATATTGGAGGTGTAATGAGTGTTTGTAGGTTTTTTTTTTTTTTTGGTAGCTCATTTTGGGGACGTCTTCATTTGTAAAAACAGTATGTAAATAAAGCTTTTTAAAATGGTAAGAATGCAGAAAGTTTTCTGTTAGGGTTAGGTTACAGTAAAACGGTATTTATAACTAGCTGTATATGAAAACAATAGAAGTCTATGCAATGTCCCCATTTAGATGTGTGTGTGTTTGAGAGCTCAGGGACTTGCCAGCCAATCTGGATTTGATTTTGTGTGTGTCGTCGAATGCATTGTGTGTGGCTACGAGCTTCAGTTCTCTCAAATGTACGCAAGCATCGGTGCAGACGGGTCAATCTCAGCTGTAAGCCACACAAAGGCCGATTGAGCTGCGTGGTCATCTTTGATCCCGCGGCCTGTGGACGGGGGTCTCTGTTTGGGGGGAAACACAGGGGAAATGCGCTTGTTTGACGGCCTTCAGTGAAATGCTGGAAATCCTGCTGTGATTGTGTGGCTCGGAAAGCTTTCAGCTCAAGAATGTGACCTACATTCTCCGTCCGCCGTCTCCCTCCCTCTCATTGTGTGTGAACGCAGTAAACACATGCATGCTTACCACTTGGTCTTAAACTTATTTTGCACAGTCTGCAACATTTTTGTCTTTGCATCGTAGCCAAGTAAAATGAAACACAAATATAACTACTGTTTTTCAGATAGTGACAGGAATGAACTGTAAATATGTTGTTCTACTTGGTTGCTACGCCTCTGTGTTGACAATGAAACATTATTTAGAAATTTCTCAAACATGTAGACATATTTAGAAACTTCTGTCACATTCCATGTGTTCTTTTCTTTCAATCTTGTTTTGTCATATTTGGGGTTGGCATGATTTTTGAATATTTTTGAAAGAAGTGCTCACCAAGCATTTATTTGATAAAAAAAAAATAGAGTAAAAATTGTGAAATATTTTTCCAATGTAAAATAACAGTTTTCTACTGTAACATATATTAAAATGTAATTTATTCCTGTGAATTTTCAGCATCATTACTCCAGTCTTCAGTGTCACATGATCTTCAGAAATATTCTAATATGCTGATCTTCTGCTCAAGAAACATTTCTGATGATTATCAATGTTGAAAACAGTTGTGCTGACTGATATTTTTGTGATAACCATGATACATTTTTTTTCAGGATTCTTTGATGAATAGAAAGTTAAAAAGAACAGCATTTATTTGAAATAGAAATCTTTTGTAACATTATAAATGTCTTTACTGTCACTTTTGATCAATTTAATGTATCCTAGCTGGATAATATAAATATCTTATTTTTATTCAGCAAGGATATACCTTAAATGATGATCTACATCTCTGCTCCCTGTATTAAGGTCATTAAAAGCTGCCAGTGAAGCAGAGGGGAGGTAGGAAAGGGTTAAGCCGTGTTGGTCGGTCAGGATGGAGATGAAATGGAGTCTGGGGTGCTGACTCACTGCATTAAGAGCCTCCCTCTCCTGTCTCTCTCTCTCTCTCTCTCAGATCATGTGGACGGGGCGTGCGAGCATGTGGCAGCCTGCCTGCTTTTACGGGAAGAACGCAAGTGCAAAAATACTTTGGAGTGCAGTGAACCCTGAACACACACACAGACACGCAAGAGACCAAAACAGATCCACCAACAACAGGCCTACATGTTGTGCTAGACATCTGAAAGTCATTCAGCAGTTTTCTGTAAGGAAAAGCAGCTAGATTTTTGTCTTCATAGAAAATAAATAAATTCTCTGTTTGCCTGTTCAAAATTCACTGCCACAGTGACAGGGTGCTGTTTGCGGTTGCCAAGGCGCTGCTATGTGTTTGCTAAGATGGTGGTTGCCATGATGTTGCTATGTGCTTGTTAAGACGTTCCTGGTGGTTGCCAGGGCATTGCTATGTGATTGTTAAGATGGTGGTTGCCAGGGTGTTGCTATTTGGTTGCTAAGATGTCCTTAGAGGTTGCCAGGGGAATTGCTAGTTGATTGCTAAGATGTTCTTGGTGGTTTCCAGGATGTTGATATGTGGTTGCTAAGATGTTGGTTGCCAGGGTGTTGCTATGTGGTTCCTAAAATGTCCTTGGTAGTTGCTAGGGCATTGCTAGGTGGTTGCTAAGATACTCCTTGTGGTTCCCAGGGTGTTGCTATGTGGTTTCTAAGATGGTGGTTGCCAGTGTGTGGCTATGTGGTTACTAAGATGCTCTTGGTGGTTGCTATGGCATTGCTAGGTAGCTGCAAAGATGGTCTTGGTCGTTGCTAGGTGGTGGCTAAGATGTTCTTGGTGGTTTCCAGGGCATTGCTATGTGATTTCTAAGATGGTGGTTGCTAAGATTTTCTTAGTGGTTGCTAGGGCGTTGCTAGGTGGTTGGTAAGATGTTCTTGGTGGTTTCCAGAGTATTGCTATGTGGTTGTTAAGATGTTGGTTGCCAGGGCATTGCTAGGTGGTTGCTAAGATGTTCCTGGTGGTTTCCAGGGTGTTACTATGTGGTTTCTTAGATGGTGGTTGCTAAGATGTTCTTGGTGGTTGCCAGGGTGTTGCTATGTGGTTGCTAAAATGTCCTTGGTAGTTGCTAGGGCATTGCTAGGTGGTTGCCAAGATGTTCCTTGTGGTTTCTAGGGTGTTGCTATGTGGTTTCGAAGATGGTGGTTGCCAGGGTGTGGCTATGTGGTTGCTAAGATGTTATTGGTGGTTGCTAGGGCGTTGCTAGGTAGCTGCAAGGATGTTCTTGGTCGTTGCTAGGTGGTTGGTAAGATGTTCTTGGTGGTTTCCAGAGTATTGCTATGTGGTTGCTAAGATGTTGGTTGCCAGGGCATTGCTAGGTGGTTGTTAAGATGTTCCTGGTGGTTTTATATTTGTATAGTTGTATTTTATACTTAATCTGTATATCTGTATTTATGTTCTACTGTTAGTGTTATCTGTATGCACCAAGGGTCTGAGAGTAACGCAATTTCAATTCTCTGTGTGTATGTGCTGTACATGTGGAAGAATTGACAATAAAGCAGACTTGACTTGACTTGACTTGACTTATTAAAATAGGACAGATCATAACTGATAGGAAGCGAAGTGGGAGAGAGATAAGGTGGCAGGATCGGGAAAGGTCCGCGAGTCAGGACTCGAACTCGAGACGACCGTAGCGCAACGGCGCTGTATGTCGACACACTGCCCAAACGGCTATCGGCACCGACGCTATGAGGTTTCTAAAATGGTGGTTGCCAAGGCGTTGTTATGTGGTTGCTAAGATGTTTTTGGTATTTGCCAGGCTCAAGTATCTATGATATTCTGGTATCTAGATATAAAGTAGCTCAGGTTTGTCCTTTAGTATATATTTGTACTCTCTTTATCACCTGAAGAAGAGAAACAGCACAGCTCTCCCAACATTCAGCACAATAACAGTGTCTCTTTGAAGGTGTTTCTGGCCATTAGGCTTTGATAACACTAATGTTCAAACACAGAGATCTTCCCTACCTTCCTCTCTTCTTAATCGTATAATCCTGCCGTCTGTGTCTGGGCTGATGCCTCTATGGTTTGTCTTCCATTAGCATTTTCCACAGAGTCTTTCTGCACACAACACACCAGCATCTGTTTCTTTCTCCTGTTTACCCAGATGTGAGGTCAGTCATAACCACATGGGTCCGCTCAAAAACCAGCCTGCAGTCCAATAAACAAGAAATTCATCATAATGAACAACATTAAAGGAATACATTCCATCAAAAACATTTCTGGCATAATGTTACAAAATGCGTGTTAACATGATTTTTTTTTTTGTGTGACAAATTGCTTGCTAATCTTATATGTAATTTTACAATTTAGTTGCTATGACAACACAACACCATAAACCATAAAATTACATTAAAAACAAATTTACAGCAAAAAAAAAATACAGAAGAATGAATGTAAACACTTTTTATAAGCTTCACATTTCTGCTTTTAAATCCTCCAAAAAATGGGCCAATTTACTTCCATTGTAAATTCCTCACTGTAACCTTTGATTTTTGCTTTTTTTTTAAATGAAAACAAGGGATTCGTCTAAAAAATAAATAAAATAATAAAAATAAGTGTTGTGTAATCAGCATTATGCACAAATGCTGTCAACTGAGTTTATAACTTCTTTTAATGTGTCATTAAATTGTTGACTTGATCTAGGCAGATTCTGAAAATGAATGCAACAATACTAGCAAACCACTGGATTCATCTAGTAACTCTTTCCTTCAAAGTCTAGCTCACATGTGACTGGATTGTATTAGTGAATCTGTACAGAATGTCCCAGCATGTTGAAAAGCATGTGACCGCAGGCGTCCCACTCAACATGATGGCGTGTTCATTCCTGTCATGTTTGAGTTTCTCGATGTCTCATGTCCAACACCTACATGATGATGCAAGTGTTGTTTTCGGTGCCAATATCATACGTTAATATAATTCACAAAATCATTGATGATGCTGGAATAACTGCACAATCTACTGCCATCTGTAACACTAGTGCAAGAAATGTTGGTTGTTTCTTCATCAGAACAGATTTGGAGAAATGTAGCATTGCATCAGTGTCTCAGCAATGGATGCTCTGCAGTGAATGGGTGCCGTCAGAATGAGAGTCCAAACAGCTGATAAAAACATCACAATAATCCACAAGCAATCCACAGCACTCCAGTCCATCAGTTAACATCTGGAGAAGACAAAAGCTGAAACAAATCCATCATTAAGATGTTTTAAGTGCGAACTGTTACTTCCAGCCAAAATATGAGTCCATAAAATAATGCTTCCTCCAGTGAAAAAGTTCATCTCCTTCTGTTCTCTCGCATCAAAATCCACCTAAATATTTTTTTTAACTGCTCTGGCTGTTCATAACCAGTGCTTGATCTGTGCAGATTTCTCTCCTGATTCAGACCAGGTTGCTAAAATGTCCTTGGTAGTTGCTAGGGCATTGCTAGGTGGTTGCCAAGATGTTCCTTGTGGTTTCTAGGGTGTTGCTATGTGGTTTCGAAGATGGTGGTTGCCAGGGTGTGGCTATGTGGTTGCTAAGATGTTATTGGTGGTTGCTAGGGCGTTGCTAGGTAGCTGCAAGGATGTTCTTGGTCGTTGCTAGGTGGTTGGTAAGATGTTCTTGGTGGTTTCCAGAGTATTGCTATGTGGTTGCTAAGATGTTGGTTGCCAGGGCATTGCTAGGTGGTTGTTAAGATGTTCCTGGTGGTTTACAGGGTGTTACTATGTGGTTTATTAGATGGTGGTTGCTAAGATGTTCTTGGTGGTTGCCAGGGTGTTGCTATGAGGTTTCTTTTTTCATTTTCACCTTTATGTGTGGATTACTTGTGGATTATTGTGATGTTTTTATCAGCTGTTTGGACTCTCATTCTGACGGCACCCATTCACCGCAGAGCATCCATTGAACTGCGGTTCAGACAGCAGCCCATAATCTCGTCTGCTAGTGAAACAGCATCTGGAAAACAGGCTAAACAGACGTCAATTATCAGGGTTAGTGGTGGAAACTCCCCGACCCTGTTTTATTACCATCAACCTCTCAAAAGTGTGTGTCTATGTTATCATGCATGTTTGTGATTTCAACACTTGATTGCCACAGTTGCTCTGTGGAAAAAAGATCAGCCTAAAGTGCTTAAAGTGAAAGTGTAAGTCGTACTGATGCAGCTCAAGTCGACCAGAAGTCAGAGTTTGACATTTTGGACATTTCTAAGACCAGATTCTTAAATCAGATAAAGGCCGAGAGCTGACAGAAAATGATCAAAGCGGTTAGAGTTGATGTAGCACCTCAGATGAAGGTGTTAGTTCACATTACTCGTCATTTAGGTAAAAACTCCCCATGAGGATTTTCTGAAGAGCTTCCGCTGTTCACCGTGCTGATGAGATTTGAAAGGTCAAGGCCATTAATAACAAACCTCAGCAGATAAAGAGGCATAAGATATGTGCAACTGACACCTTTACTAAGTAAAAGTGGAGGTTATTCATATACATTAAGTAAACACTATGCTGGTCTTGCAATGCTATATACTGTATATATACTGTATAACACCTCAATAAATTATAATATTGATACTGTATGTTAGCCAGGTGATTAAATGTGCAGATATCTGTCCATTCTATTTGTCCAGATCAAAGTAACAATAAAAACATATATTTAATAATTAAGTGAAATAAAAGTGGGGACAAAATTGCAGTGCACCTTTTTCACATTTTAAATGGACTTTAAAATCCATAAAATTTACTAGAATTGACATAAATAATTGTGTTACGTTTAATGAATGAAAAACGCTATAATATAATTATGAAAAACTATATGAACATGAAAAAGTAAAAAAAAAAAAAAAGTAAATTAAAAGTGGTGTCAAAGTTGCAGTGCACACTTAATTACTGAAGAAATTTGATTTCAAAATTCATAAAATTGACTATAATTGACAATTGTGTTACGTTTAATGAATGAAAAATGTTGAAATATAATGATAAAAAACTACATGAAAATTAAAAAGTAAAAAAAAAATTAAAATAAAAACTTGCATTTAAGAATTAAGTAAAATAAAAGTGGTGTTAAAGTTGCAGCACACCTTTTTGACACTTGGAATTTACTGAAGAAAATATACATTTAAAATGTATAAAACTGACTGGATTAAAAACGTTTATGGATGAAAAATGTAATATAATGATGAAAAACTACATTAAAATGAACAGGTAAAATACATAGATCAATAAAGACTTGCATTTATTAATTTGAGTAAATTATTAATAATCAAAAATGATGGTATATTTCTTCGTTACTTTAGATTACTATTGGTAAGGTGAGTGACGATTCATAATATTGATCAGTTTTTTTGACACTTCAAAGTCAAATTATCTGAAGTCAGAGGATGGAAATTTAGTAAATTTCCAAGACCAGATTCCTACATCACATAAAAGCAGAGAACTGACAGAAAATGACCAAAGTGATCTGAAAAATATTTGCCCCACTTTTATTTTACTTACAAAAGTGGTGTCAAAGTTGCATTGCACATTTTTTGACTTGAATTAGAAATATGACTTTAAAATGCATAAAACTGACTAGAATTTACAACAATTATTGTTTTAGGTTTAATGGATGAAAAATGTTGTAGTAAAATCATTTTAAAAAACTGAAAAATGGAAAAGAGTAAAAACAAATATCAGTTTTCAGATATTTTTGAATATAGTAATAAAAATTTGTAAGTAAATATTGTTAAAAACTGTCAAATTAATGTAATATTACATTTTTATATAACATGTAATATTAATATTACACCATTACATTGTATATGGATCTCAGTATTATATCAGCCATCGGTCACCCAGTTCTATATATACACACTCTGTCTAAAAAGCCCATCTCGGTCACCCACTACTGTAAAGTACCTCATTGCAAAAACCTCATTTTCAAATTAAAAAGATGCAAAGACCTTTTAACTTTGTTATTTAGCTCTTACAGTCAGAGAACTTCCCCTCAGCGGAAAACAAAGTTCACGAATGAAGCTTTCAAAGAGGCCCATTACGTAAAGCAGTGGACATGCCCGCGCCGCACGACCCACTTACAGCTCAGATTTCCCCCACTTGCCATTGCCCACTGTGTAAAACGGATCTGTGACCTTCAGCTTGAATTTGAACCAACATCGCCAGCCAATCAAATCACAGACATCGGTTCAAACAGCAAAAGGAGATAAATGCCGCTGCACCCAACACATTAAATGCGCGGTGAGATCAGCAAGCAGCATGTCTGTGGTTGCCGTCCACCCGCGGGCTGAGCTGTGACTCATGGGAGATTACGTGGCTGATGGCTTTGATGTGCACGCTGCTGCCAGGGCTATTTTCTGTTGTATGTGGGCAGGAGGCACCGAATGCACCGCGCTGAACCAAGACAAAACCTCTGAAACAACAACCACAGCACAGCTGCATTAGGAACATTTCCTTTTGTTAACTGATTTACATACATGATCTTAAACTGATTATAGTCATGATTAACCCTCCTTTTGTGTTGGGGTCAGTTTGACCCACATGTGATATTTTTTGCTTGAAAATTGGTAAAACTATTAATTTCTTCCTGAAATTTGGTGACTTTTTCTCATTTAGGGCCATAAATGTGCATGCAAAATTTTGACACATACATGTGTTTTGGAAAGGGTGAACACAACTTTTATGTTGGGGTCAAATTGACCCACATTAAAACATTTTTTACTTGAAAATTGGTTAAACTATTTCTTGAAATTTAGTGACTTTTTCTTATTTAGGGTCATGCATGTGCACGCAAAGTTTCGACACATTGGTGTTTTGGAAAGGCTGTATAGAAACTGTTGCGACTTTTGTCTTGGGGTCAGTTTGACCCCCATTTTGATTTTTTTTTTTTTGCCTGAAATTTGGTTAAACTATTTATTTCTTCCTGGAATTTGGTGACTTATTCTCTTTAGGGTCATGAATGTGTGTGCAATTTTTTAACACTTAGATGTGTTTTGCAAAGACTGTACAAAAATTGTTACAACTATTGTGTTGGGGTCAAATTGACCAACATTGTTTTTTTAACTTTGAAATTTGGGTCAAATTGACCCACAATTGACTGTTGTTGTATTTTGCATGAAAAGCGGTTAAACTATCTTCCTGAAATTTGGTGACTTTTTCTCCTTTAGGGTCATGAATGTGCATGCAACGTTTCGACACATGCATGTGTTTTGGAAAGGCTGAACAGAAATTGTTAGGACTTTTGTGTTGAGGTTGCATTGACCCCCATTGGTTTCCATGCAATTTGCCAAAAATCAACATTAAAGATAACAAACAGACAAAACTTATTGTAGTTTGTCACTAAAATATGACATACATGAGAATTGTATGAATTGTAAGATTCAAAGTTTACTCGAGATAGAGACTCGTCTTCTGAATCACCCAAGGAAACTTCACTGTTTCTTTATCTAGTTGAGTTTCAGTCAAAACATCTATCAAAGGTTGTTTTTTTGTTGTTAGTTTAAAAAAAAATCTAAATAGACATCAAAAAGCAGAGGAAGTATAAATATCACACTCTAAAAAATGCTAAAGTACAAATACTAAATACTAAAGTACAAATAATGTAAGGTAATATTTATACAAGTAGTCCTGACAAAAAACATTATATATATATATATATATATATATATATATATTGTTCTCTGACAAGCTACAATAGAGGTTTTCACTGGTGTTTGAGTTTCTTTCTTTCCTTCAGTTGGGATTCGGCTGCTGTTACAGTTACACACGGATAGGAAGTTGTACAAGGTTATTGAAAAACTGACTGCCAACACCCACAAACTGCTCAGTGCTGATGCAATGAGATTGTTGCTAAAAGACGGATGCTTCCGCGTGTATTAGCAGATTGTCGTTGGCGTAACGGGAAGAGAAAGAGCCCTGGAGGCAGGCATTTATCTGCTGACTGTCAGATCAGAGAATGCAGCAGCATGACGGAAACACTGAGCTGAGATGCCAGCAGCAAAACATGTAAAGCTAAAAAAAAAAAAAGTGACAGTGACAGAACCAATTATTAAAATTAATCCCACCAACGTGACGCCATTTACAGCTGAGGTACACTAACTGGTTCTGTTTCAATTGCTAAAAAAAAAAAAAAATCCTATTATTATATAACTATTTATATTAAATATTGTTCATATTAATAATATTAAATTACATCTCATATCTCATAACTTGCATTTAATATAGTCATATTTTACCCTGTGTAATTTTGTTTATGATTCTTGAGGATGAGAGCATCACACAACATTGTGTCAGTGTTGCATCAGTCAAATTTATTGAACCCTGATGAAATAGTAGAGTTTGACTGGACACATGAACTTTGACATCAACAACAGAAATATGAGCTTTGAAAACTAAGAAAGCGTTTTTTTTTTTCTTTTGCTATGCTAAATTTGCTTGATTACTTTTATTTAGTTGCTTTTTATCACTTGCATTTAGCATTGTTTTTTCCCTGCATTTTTTTAATCCTGACAAGGGCTATTGTACTAAAACTAAAACCATAAAAAAAACAATTTTGTTACTTGAAATAAATTAATGCTAACTTATATATATTTATATATTTCTTATATAATAAAATATATAAAACTTTCTAATTTTCATTTAGTTTAATTGATGTGCTAAAATAACTTAAACTTAAATAAAAATGACTAAAAACTATAGAAATAAACCAAGGTTGATGTAATAAAATTACGTAATAAAATAATGAAAACTGAAATAACTACAGTATATAAACATAAAAAACAAAAACAATACAAGAAAAAATACAAAAACTTTTACAAATACAAAAAAACTAAGACATTACAAACAAAATGAAAATGGAAAATATAAAAAAATAACTATATAAAATAAAACTATAATAGCACCTCAATGATTCTAAAATAACACTGATCATGACCCACCGGTTGAGAACCACCGATTTATCGCAAACTTAAATGTTTAGTGTGGGCTAGAATATATTCAAAATAATAAACAGCATTATCCTTTGTGAATTCCCTCCAAGTTCTGCTCACCGAAACCACAAAATGCATTATAAATCACTGCACTGCGAGTCTATTTGTGAGAACTGTCAGTCGGTTCAGGGCCCGGAGCTGTAGATTTCTCCTACGTAACCTACTTTCAGGCGACTCTTATTTCCTGACACATAAAAGCTGTGCTGCGCTTCCAACGGCTGTCATCTCTGACGTGCATCATCAAAAGGATGCTGCTCTGATTCCCCCAGTTGCCATGGAAACAGCTCACTTCGGGGAGGCTGTGGGAGGCGACGTGTGCTTCTGTGCAGCTGGTTGTCATGGAGACCGATACGGCAACTTACATAAGTATTCATCTGGAGTTCGGCTTTGCCTCATGATAAATTCAGCGCGAGTTGCTCCCGCTCGGATGGAGTTAAAACAATGTCATTGGGAGCGGCGGATGAGGACATTCGTGTGCCGCCCACATTACTGTCAGCCAAGGTCAGGATAGTTTCCCTGGCAATTAAGCGGAGGCTGTTTATGGAGCAGATGCCCGGCAGTCCCAAGGTGACATTTCAAATAACACAGTCTTTCTGCCCCTCCTGTTCCTTAGATGAGTAACACTGTGGCGGCAGTTCGGAGACAAACCTTAAGGGAGCTTCAACTCAACAACACAACCATTCCTCCAATCAAACTACAGTTAAGTAGCAATTGAACATCTGTTGGTGCAGATGACCTGAAAACTCAACAAGAGGGATGCGTTCCAAAACCTAGTGAGCTGCTGTGCTGTCTAGGCAGCGTTCTAACTGAAATGACCCCTCATAAGTGACCGATTTGGGAACACTTGCAAAACCAACTGATGATTGACTTCACTTTGTTGCCAAGTTGCAACAACATGCAATGCAAATACACAAATACTGAGGGAAAAAACTGTTCATGTATAATTAGATACAGTACTAGATACAGTACTATTTATAATATTTTCCAGCATAAAACACACATTTGTAATTCCTCCCGCGTTGTCCACCATCTTGGATGTCATTTTTTGTTTTACTGTGCTTATTTCAATGCATTATGGGCCTTAAAATTGGGCTAAAAGAAAGTACACTGCTTTTTAAACACTCTTCACAGCATAAGTGTGCTTATAATGTCTTAAAATAGCACCTATATAGACAGTATACTAACTGAAATGACCCCTCATAAGTGACCGATTTGGGAACACTTGCAAAACCAACTGACTTCACTAGAGTTTGACGCCAAGTTACAACAACATGCAATGTTTGCATAACATGCACAAATATTGAGGACAATATTGTTCATGTACAGTTAGATTGAACTATTTTATAATGTTTTTCAGCATAAAACACACATTTTTAATTCCTCTCACGTTGCCCACCATCTTAGATGTAACTCGTCATATAGTTTTGTGGAAAAAACTTTACAAATGAAAATATACTATTGTATTCAATTCAAAAAAAAAAAAAAAAAAAAAGTATATTTCTTTTAAAACACTCTTCAAATCCCGAGTGTGCTTACGATGCCTTAAAATACCGTCTACATAGGCAGCATACTAAATGGAAACTCAAAAGTGACCTATTTGAGAACACTCTACTTGGGCAGCAACTTTCAATAGAATTTCACTAGAGTTTGACGCTAAGCTACCAATGCATCACTCTGATAAGCATAAAACACACAAATACTGAGAAAATTGCTCATTTATAGCAAGATTTTACCATTTTATAACATTTTTCAGCATAAAGCACGTTTTTAATTGGCATTCACCCCACATTGTTCACCGTTCTTGGATGTCGTTTTGGTTTCACTGCGCTCGTTTCATTAGAATATGCTCAAAATAAGATATATTGCTTTTTGAACAGTCTTCACGTCATAAGTGAGCTTGTGATGTGTTAAAATAGCGCCTATATAGGCAGCACGCAAACTGAAAACACATAAGTGACCAATGATGATTGATTTCACTAGAGTTTGATGTTAGCATGTGGCTAAGCTATCAGTGCATCACTCCGATAAACATCAAAATACACAAATATTGAGAAAAGATTATTTTGAAAGGAACTATTTTGTATTTCGCATTTTTAATTGCCATTCATCCCGCATTGTCCACTATATTAGTTTCACTGTGCTTGTTTCAATGCATTATAGGCCTTAGAATTTGGCCAAAAGAATGCATGTCCCTGTTGAAAAAACCAGCATATGCTGGTTAGGTCAGTTTAAACCAGCAAATGACCAGCTTAAACCAGCATCCCAGCGTCAAAATATACCTAACCAGCATATGCTGGTTTTTTCAACAGGGATTGCTTTTTGAACACTCTTCAAATCATAAGTGTGCTTAGGATACCTTTTTTGTTGTCATAATGCTTGTTGCAAAGAATTATTGGCCTTAGAATGTGATGATCAAAAACACAAGCTTACTAGGATTTTCAAACAGAGCCGAAGATTCCTTTCAACTTCTTTTTTCACACACCTTGGTGAACATTAGTTAGAAACTGCATGCTTACTGTAGAGCACCAACCTGATTCTGCTGAGCCCTTCTAGAGGTCTGAGTGAAGCAGACGCCATGCGCTTCTCTCGCTACGGCCTGCGTCAGTCTTACTATGACCTCAGGAACTCGAGAGATGGAGAGAAAATAAACATGTCAGTTAGAAAGCACAGCGTGACAAATGTTCGCCTAACGACAGAGTCATATGGCACGGAGGGAAGTGGTGGTTTGTGTTCAAAGCTGTCAAACCCTTCTGTGTTCAGACTTCCCTTTATGTGTATTTCTCCAAGCGTGTCTATGTGTGCGCTTCTGCTTTTCGTTTCCGTGCTCCGTGAGCAATGTGCTAATAGTTAACCTGGTTAAAGGATGCGCTGTGTGCACGGTTGCCAAGTACTGTACTGGATGATTAAGTGCACAGGAATGCGTCGTAACAACAGCCGACACGGGGCGTGACTAAATATACAAGCTTCTAGGTGACAAACACTTCTGAGAACGTGACGTTTGTGTGAATCGACTGACATGTGAGTTCTCATAGGGAACCGCCTTTTGCCCTCACGCCTTTGTAAACTCTTAGTCAACCAACTGTTCTTGGTAATACCAGGAAGTTAACCTGACATTGTTTTGTTTCAAACAAAGGGCCGGTTGTGAAACCAAACAAACGCTTTGGCAACAAGTCAACACTGAATGTGGAAACAAGGTTCAAGAGGCTTTGGATACTATTTATTTTGTTGGGTTTCTTGCTATTGAGTTAACTAAGACCGGCTGAAACCCAAAACTAAACTAGCTTCAGATGGTTTGCTGGTCTACAAAGCTGGTCTCCCGGTGTGACTTGTGCCCAAATGTTAAAAAGTGCCCAAAATCTTTCTAAAACCAGCAAACAGACCAGAAAGCCACTTCAGGCTGGTTTAGTCAGCAGGGAGAGATTTATATTGTCAGTGGGTTAATTATGAGCTACCTAGTGTCATTTCAAACTAAGGCACATATGTGAAACCAAACAAACACATTGGCAAAAGTCAAAACTGAAGGCTAAAGAGGCCTTGGTTTCCCCAAACTAGATATTTTGTTGGTTTTTTTTTTCTACAGAACCCACTGAAACCCAAAACTAAACTAGCTTTAGATGGTTTGCTGGTCTTTAGTTGGTCTGCAAAGCTGATCTCCCAGTGTGACCGGTTAAAAAGTGCCCCAAACCACTCTAAAACCTAAGTAAATTGAGACCAGAAAATGACTTTAGGCTGGTTTAATGGGTTAATTATAAGCTACTTAGTTTAATTTCAAACTAAGTCACAGTGAAACCAAACAAACATATTGACAACAAGTCAAAACTGAATGTGGAAACAATGTTCAAGAGGTCTTGCATTGGTTTCTCCTTGCTGAAAACCCAAATCTAAAGATCGTTTGCTGATCTAATTGGCTGATTTATATCATTATGGGTTAATGTTACACTCCCTAATGTAGTTTCACTTCAAAAAAAGGTACAGTTGTGAAACCAAACAAACACATTGGAAGCAAACCAAAACTGAATGTGGAATCAAGGCTAAACAGGCCTGGTTTCTAGTGTTTTGTTGGGTTTCTTGCTACAGAGCTAATTAAGCCCTGCTGAAAACCCAAGCCTTAGATGGTTTGCTGGTCTTCTACTGTTTTAGCCGGTCTACAAAGCTGGTCTCCAAGTGTGATCAGTTAAAAGGTGCCAAAAATGCATTCTGAGACAAGAAAACCAGCTTAGGCTGGTTTAATCTTTTTTTTTTCTCTCCAGTGATTCATATCGTTGGTGTGATGGTGTAATTATAAGCTACCTAATTTAGTTTCGTTTTAAACGGAGGCACAGTTGTGAAACACATTGGCAACAAGTCAAAACTGAACGTGTAAACAAGGTTCAAGGGCCTGGTTTCTAGTATTTGTTTGTTTGTTTGTTTTTGGCTTTTTAAGAACTAAATTAAATCTGCTGAAAACCCAAACCTAAACCAGCCTAAGCTGGTCTTCAGCTAGTTTAACTGTTTTTAATGCATTGTAAAAAAGTGGTAACCTGCAAATGTTACCTTAAAGAGCGATTTCAACCTGATTCAACCCATAAAAATAGTTTTGTTGGCATAAATGAATGTATTTAGGTTGTTAAATAATATTTTGACCTTTAAACTTGAATAAAAACCTACCATTTTTAAAAGCCAACTAACTAGCAAACCAGATTTTGAAAGAGTCAGCTATAAACTACTTCATTTAGTTTCATTTCAAACGAAGGAAGAGTTGTGAAACCAAACAAGTCAAAAGAGAACCTGCAAATAAAGTTATAGTAACTTTCTGTCGGTCACTAATTTATCGGTGCGACAGCGCAAACTAAGTGACAGAAGGGTTAACTATGAGCTGCTTCACATTCTTTGACCTGCAGTGACGTTCACCGTCTTCGCTTTGCCCCACATCGAGTTACACAACAGCCAGCATGACTTCAGATAAATAGTATTTCTTCTGTGAGTGTCAGGTGTTGTTTGTGTTTGGACGAGCCCCCAACCGTCCTGAAGGAGTGAGTTCAGATGCGTATCTGAGCCCGAGGACGGCAAGTGCTGGCAAGAGAGGCGTTGTGTCAACAAATGTGGACAGACTTGTTTAACAGTTTGGCGCTTATTCAGCACAGCACTTATCTGAAAAAACGAAGGCTAGGTGTTACACAATAACACAACTCAGGCCAGAAACATTCACATGGACACAAACACAGTCATTGCCTTACAGCCCATACGGCAAAAAATATGCCATTTTTCTGACCAAAATCTATTTTACATGTATGCTAAATATACGTTTTTAAACAGTGAAGCTCAATTAAATATATTTTTGAAATTGAAAATATAATTAGTTTCAACCTTCATATATTTCACACTGTATTTCAGGGGCAAGAAAATACATTTCCAATCTTAAAGTAGCCTACATTTAGGCTGAATGCAAACGTGGATGAAATAAACTACCAGAGATCAAAATTAGATTATTGTTTGGATAGAAGGTAATATAGTAATTTTTTTAAATATTGTAAAATATGTTCCTTGCTGATTATTATTCAAATGTGATATGTGTTCACACTTATTATAGACAACAAATATAAATTGTTTTTTTGTGACATACGTAAATGTATTTTATTGGACTGAAATATATGGAGGGCAAAATCTATATTTTAACTGCCTTTAAAAAATATATTTATATTTTTAAAATATATATATTTTGAAATATAATATTTAATTGAATTCGTAAATATATTTTTTTGTATATTTTGAAATATATTTAAATATATATATTTAAAAATATATTGATTGATTGATTGACTGATTGATTGTCTGTCGTATGGGTCGGACGAAAACCTGTTCTTCAGTATTTTTGTCTTGTTTTTCAGTGCAAATATCTAAACATTTTTAGGGGAAGATACATTTACTGGTGATGCACAATAAGATAAGAAGTTAATAAATTTATAAAAAATTAAGTGAGTTTATGCTTAAAACGAGAAAAAGTGGGGTATGAAAATTAAATCTGTTTTCCTTTTGAATGAAGTTTATGTTTTTCTGAATGCATTATCAGATATTTTCTTGTGTTAAGCAGAAACTCACTTAATTTTAAAACATTTATTAGAAAAAAACATGATTTTCTGTTTTGAAACTGTGGATTGTGAACAAGTGCTATAGCAATAAATTTGACTTCTTCCATAATTTTGCTTTTTTGAAATAAATGTTCTTGATTTAAGAATCTTTAGATATTTGTACGGAGTAAGAAAAACACTTTTTGAAGTTTCCTTCAGATATTCAGCTAACTGTTAATATTCAGTTAGAAATATGTTGACAGTTTAACAAACTTTAACTAACTTACTCTATGTTCTGTTATATACTGTGTTTATGTTATATTATATAAATGAAGCTCTCATAAATGTAAGATGTTGTTGTTGGTTTTATTACACTGACATGCTTTAACCCTTTCATGTGGCGTATTTTCTCGGCAGTATCTTTTGGCCTACAGTGTGTGTCGCCGGGGCGAGTTGACACAAAACAGATGGATGTCCCACGCTGCATTGTGCAACACTTAAGCCCAGGTTTCCCACGCTGCTTTGTGTCTGTAATGTGAGTTTGTGCTCGACGGGACTCCGGCTGTATCTCACTCTCCATACAGATAAGCTTTCCCACTGGAAAACAAAACAGATCTGTGCAAAGCATTTCAGCACATCACTGCCATGTCCCACCGAGAGCAACTCTCACAGCTTTTCACTACAGACTTCAGCAGCATGTGTGGCATATTTTGCCCCAATTTATTTATTTATTGAAAAATATAGAGTGAAATGCTAAGTGTCCACACTGCAGCTAAATACGGACGTCACTATTCCTTGTTCACAGAATTAGTTTGTTTATGGCACGGTAATTATTGTTAATTAAAGTAAGATTTTCGTTACTTAAAAAAAAAAAAAAAAATTGCAGAGAGAAATTTTTTTTTTTACTTATTTTATTTCAGTTAGTTGCCAAGCCCATATTTCTAATTTTCGTTCAGTTGAAGTAATAAGATTACTAAAACTAAAACTTAAATAAAAAATAAAAACTATATAGACATAAAAAAAAACGAATAATAATAATAATAAAACTGACAAAAACACACCACAAAATTATCTAAAATATCTAAAAGAAAAAAATATATATTTCTAATAATATATAACATAAATGACAATATAATTTTGTACTAAAATACCTGAAAAAAACAAACAAATAGACATCAAAAAAGACAAACACACACCACAAAATTACTTAAACTAAAACCTTCAAATTTAAAAATATTTATATAAAAATAAAAACAAATTCAAAATATTAACAAAAACTCTAACTGTATATTAATAATCCTATAATAAAGCAACCATTGTAATATATTATTTTATATATATTTATATATTATTATATAAAGTAATAAATTACATGTGTGTGTGTGTGTGTGTACCTACTTAACCATATTTTGGGGACAACACTTATTATAGACAACAAATATAAATTGTTTTTTTGTGACATACGTAAATGTATTTTATTGGACTGAAATATATGGAGGGCAAAATCTATATTTTAACTGCCTTTAAAATATATACTTATATTTTTAAAATATATTTTCAAAAAATAAAATATTTAATTGAATTCGTAAATATATATTTTTGTATATTTTGAAATATA